AAATTAAGCTATCTTAATTATTTATCATTAGTTTTGATTAATTATAATTTAGTCCATTTAAGGATTTAGTTGAGTAAATTGTATTGTAAAATAGTTTAAATATAAAACTTAATTGAAAATTTTGGAGTTAAAGTGTAATTTTTCAAAATTACATGTGCTACATAATTGGTGTCACATAAGCATGTTATAGGATTCTGTTAAAAAAACTAATGATAGTTTATTGGATAGATAAATTTAAAATGATTTTCAAAATTTATAGATAATTTTGAAAAAAACTAAATTTTTTATACTAAAATAAAAAAAAAAAAGTAATAGTTAATGATGAAAAATTAAATTTAAGCCTCGATTTCGACTTGTTGACTTTCGAATTCCTTGCAGGGCAAGGAGTTTAGGAAGCGTGCATCTGAAGCAGCAGCCAGTCGGCAATACCACTGTATAAATAGCGGGACTCACCCAATTCTTCGCATTCCATCTCTTCAACATCCCCTGATTTCAGAAATGGCCTCCATGTTTTCCACATCCGAGATGTCTAACATTGCATCCACATTGCTCTCCACCTACGCCTCCTTTGCCGGAACCTTAATGCTCCTCCGATCCATGGCAAGAGAGCTCATTCCTGAGCAGCTCAGATCTTACTTCTCCTTTTTTCACTACCTCTTCACCCCTCCCTCTACCAACCTCATTCTCGTTATCAACGAATCCAGCGGGGTGTCAAGTAATGAAGTCTACAATGCCGCCGACCTCTATCTTGCCACCAAGATCAGCCCCAAAACAGAGAGGCTCAAGCTCAGCAAAACCGAGAGGCAAAAGAATTTCGGGATCTCAATCGAAAAGGATGAAGAGGTCGTCGATATTTTTGAGGGAATTGAGTTGAAATGGAGGTATAACTGCATAGAGCCTCGCGAAAAGTATTCTGCAGAGAAAAAATTCTTTGAACTCAGCTTCAACAAGAAGTTCAAAGATAAATTCGTCGACTTTTATTTACCTCATGTTTTGGCCAGGGCTAAACAAATCAAAGAAGAGTCCAAAGTGGTTAAGATGTATAATCGTGACTGTCCTTGCGGCGATGATGATACTGGCATCTGGGGTTCCATGAATCTTGAGCATCCAGCCACATTTGATACCGTAGCCATGGATTCGGAGCTGAAGAAGATGATAATCGATGATTTGGAGAGGTTCGTGAGGAGGAGAGAGTTCTACAAGAAAGTGGGAAGGCCTGGAAACGAGGGTATTTGTTGTACGGCCCTCCAGGCACAGGAAAATCGAGTTTGATTGCTGCCATGGCCATTACCTCAAATTTGATATATACGATCTGGAGCTTGCAAGTATATACTCCAATTCGGACTTGAGAAACGTATTGTTATCAACAACTAACAGGTCAATTATTGTGATCGAGGACATAGATTGCAGCATTCAGGTTCAAGACAGGGAAAATCGCTTAGAATCTGATAATTCAAACAGAAGGGTGGGTACCATTTTTGGGTTTGATTAAAGACCATTAGTTTCGTTCAACCTTTTAATAATGTTTGAGATTCTAATTCCTCTGTTTTTTTATACTGCAGTTAACGCTATCTGGCGTATTGAACTTCATTGATGGACTGTGGTCAAGCTGTGGGGACGAGAAAATCATTGTGTCTACGACCAACCACAAGGATAGGCTTGACCCGGCACTGCTGCGTCCAGGCAGGATGGACGTGCACATCAACCTGTCCTATTGCACAGTTGAGGCGTTCAGGATCTTGGCCTCTAATTACCTGGACATCAACAATAGAGACCATCCCCTGTTCGGAGAAATCGAAAGCTTGATACAGAGCACGGAGGTGACCCCAGCAGAGGTGGCAGAGGAACTGATGAGGAGTGAAGATGCTGACCTTGCCCTTCAAGGACTTGTTAACTTCCTTAAACACAAGAGGAGTAAATGTGATAAAATTGAGGAGGAAGTTGCTGAGACTGAAGAAGCAAACAGTTTGAAAAGTGATAATGAGGAAAAGGAAATTAGTGTTAGGAGGAAGAGACGAAGGGGGATCAGGATAGCAACACGAAGACAGCGAGGAAAGGGAGGGACAAAGGATTGACTAAGTAGAAGTGCCAAAACGTTTTTTCACTAAAAAAATACAATATAGACTTTGGTTGCAGAGTCCCTGCTTCATTTGGTGTTGTTGTTGTTAACGTATGAGATAAAGTCCGTTAACTAGTTATGTTAGTTCTTGTGTGGTGGTAGTTGCAGATGGTTTATTTTGCTTAGTGGTGTAGCAGTTCATGTTGGCAGTTTGTAACTTCTTTGCTTTTTGCAATCGTCATGTATAAGTTTCTGGTTCTTTCCTAGAAACAGTATAAATGTTCCACACTCTGTTTTTCTGAAATATCATAATGCAGTTTATGTGCTTCATTTCTCAAGTTTAATCCTTGAGTTTATGTTCATTTAATGTTCATTTTCACTTAAGGTTTCATATTTGCATCATCAGTTCTGAAAATTTGGAATAAGGCAAATTGATGTAGTGTAAATTAGACCAGCAAGGTTAATTCTAATATACATATCCCTTCTCATAAGAGTTGAAGAATGTCTTTTTCTTTTTTTACTTGTCTTGAACAAAGTAGAAATACAATAATCATGTTAATAAAAAATACTATTAAATGATGTTTCCAAAATGGAGATTAATAAGTGATAGTGATGAGAGACAAAATTTGAAGACATGAGTTTTTGCAAAAATGAAT